GGCCGGGACCATTTCTCATGTGAGTGTGACATGTGCCTATATGCTGTTTTAGGACATTGTTTTGAGGAACGCAGATTCCTGGGCCAGCCTGGGCAAGATGGCGTCTGCCACTCCGTCTATGATCAAGTCTTCGAGCGAGAGCTTTCAGCAGTTCAGGAAGGCTGCTATGGAGAAGGAGGAACGAGAGAGAGCTCTGCGCAGGCTGCAGGTGGAGCAGGCTGGGAGAGAGAAGAAGCCTGTCCCTGAGCAGCCAAGGTATTGTTGGGGTGCAGGTGTTTGGCACAGACTCCAGATGGGGAGTCCCACCGTGAGCTGAGCATAGACTCATCTGTCATGTGTCTGGAGCTGCTCTACGTCCACGTGTTTACAGTTTGGTACAGACGTTCAGATGCGAGTTTTTCTAATAGTAACGTTTTCTGTTGTATTGAGGTTGGGCAGGGTATAACTCTGAGCTGATTTTATCCCTTGACTTAAGTTCTCGTTAGTACAGCAATCGCCTCACTTAGTATGCGCATTAATACTTATTAATAATAAGTAAAAGATTGTTTTAAAACCTGGATTTTTATAAAAGAAAAAATGCCTTCTAGTTACAGTATTTAAAAGGCGCTTGCTGGCCTTTGACTGTTATTTGGATGCGATTGTGCGAGTGAGTCCTTGCGTGGTGTCGAGGGGCTGTGTGTACCCCAACACTGAGGTGGCCCGGTGCTCTTCCAGGGACGCGGACAGGGAGGCGGCCGTTGAGAGGGTCGGGACCCCGCCAGGCCCCGAGGCGCCGAAGCAGGAGGCGCCCCTGTCCTCTGTGGACCAGGAGAGAGAGAGGGCTCGGAGAAGAGAGCAGGAGCGAAGGAGGAGGGAGGCTGTAAGTGTGCAGGCGGCCGGGTTGGCTGAAATCCACCTGCTGTGGAGTGTTCTGCCCCCCTGCGGAGCCGCTTGGTCATTTTTCAGAACTGGGGCTACAGGGTCGAGTAAAACAAACAAACAAACAAAAAAAATGTTTCTTTTGCAGATGTCCGGCATCATTGACATGACTCTGCAGAGCGACATCATGGCGACGTTTGAGAAGAACCTTTATTGAAGGTGGGGGCTGACGGGGCCCCTGCTCCCCGGGGTTCGAAACGGGCGCACTGCACGCCGCTGCGGGTTTGTCTCCGAGCAGCCCCTGCTCACCGAAGGAAACGGGTCATTAGACGCTTGCTGCGTCACTTCATCGTCCGGTTCTAGTTCCCTTGTATTATAGTGTACAGTGTAATATAACTGTGATTGTGTGCACAGAAACCGAAAAGGACCACAATTTCATTATCTGACTTTGCCTTTTTTTTTTTGTGGAGGTGATATTCGGTTGCTCTCCAATACTTGCACTGATGTTCTGTTAGCGAGTTTATAAGCAGCCATAATGGAGTGACCAGCAAACGAAAAGGTTTTGATGGGGTTTAAAACACAGTAGCTGGGAGATGATTCCCCCCCCTTCCTTGTCATGCAATGTCTTGTTTATTCTTAAGTCTTTTATTTAGAACAATTAAGGATTTTAGAGCCAGGATTGCATACCTTACATCAATTTACATTCCACTTTTTTCCCTTAATTGCTGTATAACTTCCAGTTTTTGTATTGGTCGTAATGACATGTCAAAAGTATAATAGTGTTAAATATTTGTATATAATTTAAAACCATTTTTCCTCATCCTTTCTCTGTTTCAACACTGCTTATGCAGTGTCTGAAATGTGGAAGAAGTCTGTGTTTAGCTGTTCTTAAACTTGAATGACTGCTAATCAACAGATTTGCTTACTATATATATTTAAGTGAAGGAATGTCCTCTGCGATATTGTTTGCTGTAACACCAGATTAAATATTAAAGTAGTAATGTTTTGTCCTACAATAATCCTTAAAATTTGGTACCTGGAAGTGTTTAATTTATTCACATTAAATATTTTGCCAAATGTTGGTCTTGATACTCGGGAGTCTATTTTAAAGGCTTCTATCTTCTTTCTCGGCCTGAGTTTCTTCATGAAAGTTTAAGGCCATAAACTGATCTGCTTACTCGTATCAGTTTAGGTGGTGTGTGCCAGAGTACGTATCGCTCAGATCTCTAAATTCAGAAAGATATTAGATACTTAACATACTGTTTGTCCTATTATCTTCTGCATTTGTTATGGTATAGAAACTTGAAGATGTGAAGCTTGATATGTTTGACCTGTTATTCAGGGTAATATGCTTCTTACTTCTGTTGTACTGCTACCACAATAATACTTCTGTAAACATCAAGACATGAGAGAGCATGACTAGACTATATGAAGAACTAATATAATTTTGAAGAAAAATCACAGTATATGGAGAAGTCCATTAAAATATTTTCAGTAAATCCCTTTGTCCTTGTATCTGTTCTGTGGCATCTGCTACTCAAGTCAAGTGTTAATGTGGATTTTGAAATTGATTTATTGCTATTTGCATTGTATGCAGTATTGCGCGCGCACACACACACACTTGTCTGTTTTGTGTACAGTGTTATACAGTCATGAACTGTTTGGAGAATGGAAGTGGAAAACCAACAGCTGAGTATGTTAAATGGACTGTATTGTGACTGAAGACCGATGGCTTTTTTGCCACCTGTGCTCACAACTTCCCTACGCTGGAAAGTATAGATGCAGAAGTGGAGAAAACTCCCAACACCTCCACAGTGAGGTGCGTTTCAGTGCCGCTGCTAGGTTGGCAAAGACTTGCACAAGTCTGTCCAACAGATGAAGCTTCTGTGCTCGGACTCCCCTAGAACTGATCGGCGCTTTTAGAAGAGCTTTTCTTCCTGCTGTCGTCCTTCCTCCGGTGGCAGAGGAACTGCACCATTGCCCCTGGCTCTGGCTCTGCATCACTGAACACCTGTGAGGAACTGTCTTTGACCACACTGGCCGCTGCTCTGTCCCCGACCTCTTTCCCTTTCATTTACAGCTGTTTTTGTTCATTGCAAGAGTCAGTGAAGAAATCCAATACATTTCCTTCCTAAGGCTTAATGCAGAACAGGTGTGCTGACGATGACCCAATTTTCCTCGGTTTAATGTTTGTATTCTCTCTGCCAAGATGTGTAATCGTGACGCTTTACAAAGTTGTAACTATGATGTCATCTTAACATTGCGCCTTTCCTAGCTCGGCTCAAGGTGCCTGGGGAGAACGCGTCCCCACGCTGCGAGACCGGCTGATTGAGGTGCAACAACCTCCGTCTGTGTGCTTCAGCTTCCCTGGGTCGTGCCCGAAATGCCAATGAGCATGATGGGATTGCAAGGCCATTTGTACTGAAACCAATCTTGTTCTGAGCCTGCGTGTGTTGCACCAAGACGCCAGCCATCGTGCTCCCTCCTTCACGCACACAAACCTCTTTGTGCTGCATTAGCTTGCTTAAGAGGCAGTGGATGAGTTGCATCACTAGGGCACTTTCTAACCCGGTTTTGTAATGGGCTTACAGCACACGATGAACCTGACTGGATCACTGAACTGCTGTTCTCTAGCTGAGTCCCTGCCTTTCACCTTTCCACTGGGGGAGAAGTGTGGCCAGGGCTTAATGAGTTCTTACATTATTGCTGCCAGGAGTCAGGGAGTCATAACGGAGATCACATATTCGTCCTGATACTAGCTTACACGCATGCAAGTTATAAAAGTTAAAGAAAACCTCCCTGTATTTCAGGAATGTTTGCAGAAAAAGGGTTTGTTTGCATTTGCACATCAATTTGGCAGTTGTAAACTAAACTCTTGAAATCCATGTTTTATTTTATGAAGCTTAAGAAAAACTATAACGTACTCCCTATTACGTACAGCGGTGGTTTCAGATCTTGAAAACCTTGACGCAGGCTAACGGAGAAGCCCCCGTTCACTCAGAGGGAGGTACAGTTCCTTTTCTTGGAAAGGGCTGTTTTTTTTGTGTGTAAAAAATCCTCCGCTGGTGACTCCAGACTGATGCTCAAAGACAACCAGTAGCATCCGAAGCGGGAAGCTTCGTCTGGCGGATTCGAGAAGGAAAATTTACATTTCCGCAAGTGCGACACCTCCAGCTCCTTTCTTTTCTGTGTGAGCGGGACCCGCCTGCTGCTAGTCTTCTGCTCCTGGACGAGGGACCCCTGTGAGCTCGGCCTTCTGTAGCCCTGAAGCTGGTCTCCTCTCCGCCTCCTCGGGCTGCACAGATGCCGGCGAACGCTAGCCCGCAGTTCCAGACTGGAGCGCCTCAAAACATTCAGCCGTGTCCAGTAAATCGGGAGCTGCTGGTGTCCTCGGCCAGCCCGCAGGTGTGAAAGCATCGCGAGAGATCGCTCTTCACCCCTCTCCGCAGGCCGGCGCCCAGCAGACCGTGTTTATACTGATAATAAACTTTATTTTATATAGCACCTTTAAAGGTGGCTTCTCAAAGCGCTTGACAGGATGACGACAACAACAATAAATAAGAAGAATACACAAGATAAAACACAATTACAATATATCTGTGTTTACTGCAGACCGCCAATCCGGCGCAGACAGATGTCTTCTCTGGTTAAATCTAATATTCTGGTGAATGGGTTTATTTCTTCTGAGATTAAGTCCCATTCGTACTCGTGCAATTTAATTAGGCTTTTATAAACAAATGGCTCAATGAAAGGCATGTGTGAGTTTTTCTTTGATAAGTGTTTACAAGACTGGGGAACCTTAAGTGGGAAAAGTGTGAGTAATGCCTGCCTTAGCCTCTTTAGTAGTGTCATGCCGAGAGCTGTAGTAAATCTGTATCTCGCGGTGATGCACGCATACACGCCCCAGGAGCTAAGCCGAGCAGCGTGAACACCCTGCGCCCCGGCGGCCGAAAACGCGATCAGCTGTCTCGCCTGCTGGGCACAGAGATGCTTCTTCAGGGCTCCGGCGCTGGCGCGGGTCGTGCGTGATCCTGCGGGCCCGGAGCGTGAACCCGCGGATCCGCAACACGGGCACGTGGCACAGGTGTGCGCCGTGTCTCCAGAGCGCGCCTGCGCCGTCGCCCGCGGGGGGGGGGCAGCCCTATGAGCTCGGGTGGGCTGGCTTATACAACCGCCAGCTCCAGCCTCCCGTCACACGCACGCGTGGAGCCTGTGCGATTGCACTGAGCTCGCTTTCTGGCATCCTCCGGACCTCCGGACCGCTGCGCTCCTGGCGGCCGAATGCGCGTCCTGAGGCGGGCCAGCGCAGTCCGGTGTGTGCAGCATCACCTGCGCAGCGCAGGGCGGTTGAGGGGAATAAGCCCAGCGACCGGGGCGATCCACACAGGCACAGCTCTCCCTGCTGTAACGTAAAGATGGCGAGACTGCTCCATAACTTACTGCTGCTGGCAGCCCGGCTGACGCTGAAGATTCGAGTTATTGGCTACTGGTCCTTGATATACTCTTATTGCGGCGTCTGCGCTTCCGTCGCCCTGCTGAAACTTCTGTGGACCATCCTTCAAAAGCCGTCGAAAACCTTCCAATGGGGAGTCCGTGAGGCCCCCCCAGCCTGCCTGAACGACACGTCCTTGGGAACGCACTGCTACGTGCGAATCAAGGTAAGACTCTCGGAATTCACGGGCTTGAGCGGGGAGGACATTTTATTACACAGGCAGGAGGGCTGTACCGATGGAAGATGCGCCTTGCCTTCTTACCGGCCGGGGGGAAAACGATAGGAAAAGGGCCTGTCTGTGAATCTGACTGAAACGCTGATCGTCATGCGACTGGTCATTAAAGAAACGCCGTAACAACGCGTCCGCAACGCGTCGGGGTCTAAGACGCGCGAACATTGTTTTCTGAAGTACACTTTGTTTCGGTCACCGCTGGTGGCCCGTTCCTTCGTGCCTCCAGCGCTCAGTGAGGGTTTCGTTTCCGAGCGAATGGTGCTGAAGACAGCTCCCGCTGCCCGGAGCACCGCCGCACCGGGACCCGTGTCGGAGGCTCTCCCGGCTGCCCAGTCCTCCCTGAAGCTGGGCTGCCAGCTTGCTCTTGCGGGGTGCTTGAGGAAACCACTGCTCCTGGCGGCGACGTGTTTCTTGAGTGTAGGTCACCTCTGCCTGGCGGGGTTAGCATACCTGTTCGGTTCCAGAGCCCTGTGGCGATCAATACACCGGTGATCAGAAATCGCTATGAATATCTCATTATTTCGGGTGTCACGGAAGCAGAAAATAGTCGTGCCCTAACTTTGTTTTTTAAATGCTAGGTTCCAGGGTGACCTCTCGGTGTAGAGTCTTATTTTCCATCAGAGGTGTTCACGTCTTATACAGTAGTACACCTTTACCCCCACAGACATTGGATTGATAGTAATTCAGTTTTCACAATGTCCCCGGGTCTTCTCCTGGGCTGGTGTCAGTTCAGAGCTGTCTGACAGAAACAGAGGGCACGCAGAGACAGATACACCGGTCCTCACCCATGGCACCACCCCTGCTCCAGACAGGACAGGGCATCGTCGGCGTTAAACACTCCTGAAACGTGCTGTCAATTCTGTGTGCGCCGCACATCACGTCCAGTTCGTCTGAAGCTTTAAGTCTGGAAACAAACCACCTTCCCCGTCGCCGAGGGAGGGATTAGCGTGCAGGAGCACCAGTGAGGCAGACAGGCGCACGTCCGCTGTCGGGGTGCATCTGAGAGGCCTGCGTCAGTCCTGCTGCGTGCCTGAGCTCGGAGAGGTGGGTGCGGGAGGCGGTGATCAGCCCGGTCTCTCCCTGTGTCCGCAGGAGTCCGGGCTGAGGTTCCACTATGTGGCTGCCGGCGAGAGAGGCAAACCCCTGCTGCTGTTCCTGCACGGATTCCCAGAGTTCTGGTAAAACGTCTGGCATGTATCCATCCATTCCTGCACCCCTATCCACACGAGCATCTGTGCACTCCTCCATCCCCACACGCATCCCTTCTTCCTGCCATCCGCCCCTTCAGCTCCACTCCCGTCCACACGCACACCAGGGCTGGGAGACACAGGTAGGAAACCGGACCGACAGGAATTCCGGCTGCAGGTTAGAATACGTACACTGGCGGGGTCTCGGCACTTAAACACTGCCTCTGAGGGGCCACGCCCCCCCTGCACCCCAGATCGGGGGGGGTGAGAAACTGCACCAGAGACCAGGACCTTAATCTTTCGGCCTGGGCAACGTCAGTGTGAAAGGCTGAAACAAAGAGAACAGAACTCAGAAAGACCCACAACTCTCCCTCTGATTCACCTTGGTCCACCAGCGAGCGTCTTTGAAGCAGCATTCGCAGGGACGAGTCCGGACTCACGTGGGTGGTTCTGCTGCAGCAGTGGCAATGCACCGCAGCTTTTGAACCAGCAGAATAACCCATCCTGGCAGGCAGGAACCAGAGCCGTTGGCTTTATGTTCCTAGTTTTTTCTCACTACCTGTGGGAATCCAACTGATTTACAGCTTCCCTGACTCTTCTCCCTTTTAGGATAAACCCTTCATTACAGGATGTGGACCAGGGTGCAGCTGCAGCTAGAACAGGCTAGTTTAAGGCTGTCAGCTGCAGGAAACTAGTTCATGTATGAATCTGCCAAACAGCCTTGTAGAAAAGCAGACAGCAGTTAATTATTCAGATGGCAGAATCCAATGTGCATGGCTGCACATGGACAGCTCATGAGTCGCGAACAGAGATTAGATTCTCTTTCTCATTCCAAGAGACATTCAGAGTGATTTGGGTTTCCTTGGCTTGCTGGGTTTATTACCTCCAGCATACTTCCGTCCTGGGAGTGTTACACAAAAGAGGAAAGAGGAAGAAACGCTGGGTATTTATTTTTCTCTTAAAAATTCGAAACAAGTCCTTCTTTGTTTTTATTTTATGCTTTCAAGGTGTTGTTGTTTCTTAAAGTTGAGAGCAAGAACCTGCTGGAGTTTAGAGTGATGTGGTCTATTCATGAGCCAGCATGCGAGGGGGGGGAGATCACTGGACCTGCACTTTGGGCAGGGCTGGATACAGGTGGGGCGCTCTGAGAGTCATGGGTACTTGCTTCCACCACAGAGGGGCACAGGAGAGTGAGTGGGCACAGGAGTAGAACTGGATAACATGGATTTAGCTCATGTCTGAACGCAGACACGCAGCTCTGTGCTTGTCTGACAGTGTTGCAGAGTTCCGCCTGGCATGGGTCTGGACTGGGACAGCCCTTACTGTACCTGCTTGCCGGACAGACAGGGGACAGAGAGACCGGATCAGAAGACACACTTTGTCACACTTAACACAACAGTCTCCACGGGTAGAAGCTGAGCCGGGTTCGGCAGGCTCCACAGCCAACTGTGCAGTTAGCTCAGCGATCTGCTCTTACTGCCTGTGTCTGCAGACAGCAGTAAGCACGAGCCCCTTGGCTGTGTTCACTTGGATCAGTTGTCTTATGTTCTTGCCTTTTTCTAAAGTATAAATAGCTGTTTTTATCAAGGGCATCCCCTGAACTGAAGGGCAGTTGTGTTGCCAGAAAATGCTGACTATAAAAGCTGCTTCTAACAGCAGGGAGTTTGTACATGAATGACCTAGTGTGTCATCATGCATTTTCTGCAGTTTAAATAGGGCCACTGTCCTTGTCGCCAGCACCCACGATCTGTGTGCTTGCCCTGCAAGGGCACCCTGCTTCTTTTTCCTTCTTTACAGCCAAGAAGGTACATCTAAAGAGCAGCCAGGAACTAGAATTAGTGTGCTATTTCGGTTCTAACAATGACAACGCTACTTACCGTCGAAGCTAACGGCCTCTTTATCTCGTGCAAAGATTACCCCCCGCTGTGAGAGAGGAGGGTAGGAGCCCAGTTTGAAAGGTGTAACGTGTTTAAGCGCGTGCGAGACCCCGTGAGACCGTGGAGGGGGTCGCCTGCCGCCCCAGCGTGGTGTTCTTGCCAAGCAGGAATGGGCGCAGCCGCGCGGGCTTGGCCGAATGCGGACACAGTGACCGCCCGCCGTCCGCTGAGCTGTTGCCCGGGTCGCCGCAGGTTCTCCTGGCGCCACCAGCTGCGGGAGTTCAAGAGCGAGTTCCGGGTGGTGGCGGTGGACATGCGGGGGTACGGGGAGTCCGACGTGCCGGCGGGGGCAGAGAACTACCGGCTGGAGCACCTCATCACGGACGTCAGGGACATCGTGGAGTGCCTGGGTGAGCGACCGGCCGCTCGGCCTCTCCGCGGAGCATAAGAACCGCACAAAGGCCACAAGCGAGAGGAGGCCAGTCTGACCACGTAGCCCCCTTGGTCGATGGTGGAGTTGTTCCATGCTCCCACAACCCTTTGTGTAATGAACTGCCTCCTGTTCTGGGTTTCCACTTCTGCCTCCTGGTTCGTGTTCGTGTCTGATGTCTGATTTGTTTCGTTCCACGATGTGTAGGTTTCTGAAATGTTTTCCACCTCTCGAAAAATATCTGTGCCGTCTGAAACAAAAAAAAACCACAACGTCAGTACAGCCCCGTTCTTGGCCTTTTCTGGGTGTGTTAAATCACCCAGTAAAATCACTCAGTTCTTTCAGTATCTGGGACCTGAGGTCTGCAGTGTGTCAGCAAACTGAGACAACAGCCTGCTCTTCTAAAACCACCTTCTCTGAGTTACATTTAAAGGCTTGTTTTTAGAGTTTTTTTTTCCACTTTCCTAGACATCAGTCTTTGCCAAAGCTTAACTGCAATTTCATATACCTCCCTACTTCCCACAGTCTTTCTCGGAGAAGCGAAGCACACGATTAGTAACATGCGTCATGTTTCACAGGTGGGGAAAAGGCTGTCCTCGGAGACACACATGTACAGAATACATGACCTTGGCCAGCCGGTTTCAGCAGGTACCTCGGGGTACGGCGAGTGGAACCGGCCCCGTGTGGAGCAGGCTGTAGCTCCGCCGGCGAGTTTACAGGCCTCACCTGTCCCGGGGCATCCTGGGAAAAGGAGATTGGTGTGTTTCTGGAGCTGTCTGAGCGCTTGCGACGGGATGAGTTACTGCTCTCTCACAGAGCCTCCGCCCCGCCAGATAGTCACTTCCCCCTTCATCTCTTCTTCCTCATCCCCTGGACCTTGTGCTTCTGCAGGCCACTGCAGGGTGGACCTGCTGTACCACAGGAGCGGCTCTTTGTGAAACACGTTCTGGTCTATCTGAACAGTAGGCTCAGTATTAACAGCTCCCTCCGTGTGAATAAGTCGGCACTGCTCCGAATGTGCGCTGCGACAGCAAGGCTTTCGAAGTGGACCTGCGGGCCTGTCGGTCTTTCCCACAGGCCCATCAGCTCCACCGCCCTTACCGTCTTGTAAACGAGCTCTAGCTCCTGCTAACGAGCTGGCGGTTCGAAGAGTAACGATGCGCTGCTGGTTTTCTCCTCTGGGGAGCAGGAGCGCTGTCCCGGGCCCTGTCCTCACTTGGGTTGATTGGTCCAATGGTAATTTCGCAGCACGTGTGGAAATGCTGGTCCTTTTCAGAATGCAGCTGTCCTAGACTGGCAGCGGCACTGACAGGGTTTCTCTCTCGCCAGGTTATAACAGGTGCCACCTGGTCGGCCACGACTGGGGTGGGATGGTGGCCTGGCTGTTTGCTATCCACTACCCAGAGATGGTGACCAAGCTGATCGTCTTAAACTGTCCCCATCCCTCTGTGTTCGCAGGTAAGCCTGCACCCGCTGCATGCGGGGAACCTGTGCACCTGTGCTGGGATATAAGTTATCTTTTTGTAGAAGTTTTCCGATAGGTCAGTTTTATTTGTTTTGTTAGTTTTTTTTTTTTTAGTTTATTGACAGCAAGTGATAATGATACGTCTTTCATTGGAAAAAAAAACGTCATAGCATGTTCAACCTCTCCCATTTCTACAGATCTGCAGGTCTCTCTGTTCCCTCTTGTTTTCTGCTTCGCTGGCTCTCGTCTAGATGCTCTGGCCTGTGCTCCTCCTCGGCTCTCCGCTCTTGTGTTTGTCAGCCCTGCTGCGTCTCTAAATCCTCCATTTCTGCCTCTGCCGACCAGCAGCCCTGAAAGCGTTTTGCTCACTCAGCTTCCTTTCTCCAGCCCCGTGAGAGCCCGCCCTCGGGGAGAGACCCGCGGAAATGTCCCCGTTTTGCCGTAGCTTCTTCTTGGGTTTTGTTCTTGCCCTTCGCGCAAGGCCAGCCCGATGTCAGAGTCCAGCTGAAGCTTTTCTGTGCCTCCAGATTACGCTCTGCGCCGCCCCCTGCAGCTGGCCAAGTGCAGCTGCATCTTCTTCTTCCAGCTGCCACGCCTCCCGGAGTTGATGCTCTCCGTTGACGACTTCAAGGTGAGCAAGGTCTCCCAGCACAGCTCAGAAAGATCGGGCGCAGGCTTCTGGTGTCCGCAGATACGTAGGTGGCTTTGGTACAGTACGTCCCGAAGGTGGGATACGTTCTGCTAGGTTAGAGGGTTCTGGTTATTGGAGTTACGAGCCATCGCAGGCCAGCTGTGGAACAGGCCTTCGATTCATTCAGCCGTCTCAGATCACAGCCCCTGCGTTGGCTGCTGGGGTCCAGGGGGCAGCAGAAGGAAGGCAGCTCCAGGCTTGCAGTCGTGCAGTTTGGATTTGATTTCAGCCACGGGTGTGGAATGGTGGTGCAGCCCAGGACTCTTTAGTATCAAGTCACGTCAGCTGATGTATAGCTCTGCAGGGTGCCCTGTTGCAGAGTGTGCCATCGCAAATATACATTGATTAATATGGATTGATTCACTTATTTCAGAGATGGGTACAGTACATTAAACAGTCAGCTCTGTCCTTCCAAAATGCTGCATGATCCTGTGCATCTGAAGGGCAGTAAAACTCTCAGCAGAAGCTTTAGTATTGTCTCCATCTCTTGGCGTCCCTGCGCGTTTAACAGTTTCAATTTGCAATGCAGCGGCAGTTTGTGGTCAGAAAGCTGAGGTGCGAGAGCTGTTTTACAGTATGAATCGCCGTACGTGCACGCTCTCAGTGAACGCAAAGCCAGAACTGACTCTGGCTGAGTTACATCTCTTCTCGCAGGAGGGGGTTCATTTCACTCTGCAAAGAGGCGGCGGTTCCAGCCGAGTCCTCCCCCCCCCCCCCCCCACAAGATAGTCTGGCTCCAGCCTGAGCCCCAGCCTCTGGCCCAGGTGCAGCCTCTGGCGAACTCAGCCTGCAGTTCACTGTGCTGTCACTAGGGGCAGAGCACCGCCGCCGCCGCCGCCCTCTTGGAGCTCCTACAGTACATGCAACTGCAACGCCACCACAGGCAGGTGTCTAAACGCCAGGCTGGAAGGTGCTCCTGGCACAACTGCTGACCGTCGCCTTCTTGTCCTCAGGCTCTGAAGGGCTTCTTCCCCAGCCGGGGCGCCGGGGTACGATGGAAGAGCAGTTCTCTCCGCTCGGAGGACACGGAGGCCTACCTGTACGTCTTCTCCCAGCCTGGGGCCCTGACCGGCCCCCTCAACTACTACAGGAACATCTTCAGGTACAGACCCGCTGAGCTGCATGGATTTGGAGAGATACGCCTTGTGTGCGTCGTCTCTGGTGTCCTCCGGGAAAATGGCCTTTTGCGTCACCGATTCAGACTCGTTGACGGCGCAGCGAGTGGGTGGTGGAGCCGGCCGAGACAGGAGGGGGGTGGGCTTCTGAAACCAGTTCGATTCCCCTGACACAACTTGCACATCCTGAGGGGCTGCTCCCTTTAACTGGGACCTCATTTCACTATGTTGCCAATTGGAATTTTCAAGCCCAGGCTGCGTCCAGCGAGCACCATGTATCAGCGCTGCCCTCTTGTGGTGCAGGCTGGTATTGCACATTGTGGATTTCCATTTCTGCTCCTTTTCCCCTTTGGGATCCACTTACTGTTGAATTATCTCGTGTTTAAAAGGGTGTGCGGTATATATTGTCATTTCCCTCACGTACTTTATGAAAGTATATTCATTCCTTTGGTCCAATGTTGAAGTCACATACTTCTAAAAGAATAATCAGATGATTCCATTTCCATTATTTCCCTTGATCTCTTCTCACACAGCCCTGAGACGTGAAGATATACTGTATCTGATCAAGTTCCTTTACATTTAAAACAGCAAAGAGGCAGTTTGATGATATAAGGGCTGTAACAGCAAGTCTGTGCAGTTAGTGAGATCTACCAGGCAGGGAAAATGTGCTTAATTCTAATCCAATAAGAGTTATGCGGTAGCCATCGCATTTGATGGATTTACATAAGTCTTTGTTCGATGCAGAAATGCATTGTGCTGTTAAACATCCTCATTGAAAATCATCCCCAGGAGCAGTTCAAGAACAGGCTTTTTCTCACAAAATAAACTGAAGCCGTTAGTGAATCTGCGGCAGTGGTATGAAACAGCACAGAGCCCCGACCCCCCCTCAGCTGCCTCCTGACTGCAGCAGCGCAGCTGGAGAGGGGCAGCAGGCAGGTGAGCTGTGTGCTCGGAGGGGCGTGTCAGTGTACCACCCGCCCTCTTCTTCATTCCTGCGCTGAGGGCTCTCGCCCGCCGAGTCTAACACCAGGGCCCTCGCGCGTCTGCTCTGGCTCCGCAGTTCCCTGCCCCTGACTCAGCAGGAGGTGAGGTCCTCGGTGCTGCTGCTCTGGGGCGAGAGGGATGCCCTGCTGGAGCAGGAGATGGCGGAGGCCTCCCGGCTCTACGTCCGGAACCACCTGCGGCTCAACATCATCTCCGGCGCCGGCCACTGGCTGCAGCAGGAGCAGCCGGACATCGTCAACACCCTGATGTGGACGTTCCTGAAGGAGGGGGAGGGCTGGAGGTGCTGCAGGAGCTGAGCCCCCTCCCCTCGCCCGCAGGGCCAGCAGGCCGCTGGGTTTTTACAACACTTCAAATATTTTTTTAAACAAGTTTATCGGAAGTGAAACTCGAAGAAAGCACATTTGATCATTTCAGTGCATTGCACCATTTAAAAAAAAAAAACAACAACTTTTTGCACATACAACATTCGCCTTAAAATTTGTAAGTCAGTGTGGCGTGTCCAGACGGGGCAGAAGTCTCCTAGTGATTTGTATTGTGTGGTGCCTTTGACTAATTTCTCCGTGTGACGATGACACGTGTGCTGTTTCTGTGACTGTCCCCGAGCCAGGGAGCTGTGTGCTAGGTGTCACAAGAGGCCGGTTTCTTTTAAACTGGACAGAACTATTGGAGCACTCTTCTCTTGCCTTCTGTATCAGGTGATGTTGTCTTAAAATAGCGTTCTTCATATTTGTATTTTTGACAATCGTTCTGCTCTTCTGGAATATTGTTATCTTCCTGTACATAAAGTGATCGTTGAATATTGTAAACTTTTGTATCCCTTCCTGCATTTACTAATTCACTGAGCCAATTCTGCACCCCATTCATTTTTTAAGCAAATAAATAACAAAGGAAATTCTGCCCATCTCTGGTCTTTCGTATGTATCCCGTTCTTTAGACATGTATGCAACGCCTGTATTGCCTTCCTGAAAGTGACCAGCAGCAAGAGATCGTCTCGGCTGAAGCCACAGAGAGCTTCGTGAATCTGGTCCCCCTGGAGGTCCCGGACTTGATTAGATCAGAAAGGATTCGTCTCCGCTTGTTCAGCTGATCTGAAAAGTCAACACAAGAGACCTCCGTTGACCTGTTCGCCGGTTGGCGAAAGAGTACTCTGTGTCATCGGCCTAAGGTGTTTTTTCAGCTGCCCTGTGAGGGTGGTACAGTGGTGTGGCGGCGAGCTCTGCGCTCCAGGAGAGAAATTCCTTCACCTTCCCTGGCCGGATCGACCCCCATTTTCAAGCTTATTAAAAACTGCAAAAGTGATAGTTGATGCGACAGTTTAACGCCTTGGAGATGCAAGTCCAAGGTATTTTAAGTGTGTCTGCAGCAGTGGGTCAGAACCCACAACACGCCCGACCGGCTGCAGCTTCATTCCCGCAGCGACACCGCGTGGTCCACTTCCTCAGAACAGATTAAACCAAAGATTGAATTTATTTGAACTGGTTATTCACGAGAGTAAGGCAGGGGTAGCTACAGTACATGCAGAGCCAAGGTGAGGAGTTTTATTCTAAAAAAGCGAGGCTAGAAAGGTGGAGAGGTCGCGTGTCCTACAATACCCAAGATGCTTTGAGCGTGTTGCATAGTGGTTACCGTAAACTCCCAGCAACGCGCATCATTTTTGTCAAACAATTTCGTACTTCTTTTGCAACACCTCGCTTTTATATCCTTCCCATTAATTCCTGCAGTTACATTTGGGGGAGGGGGAAGAGTGCCGGCACGAACGAAAGATAGACATGAATCACCTAAAATGCGCATGTGAGGTTGTAATTGCTGTATCATGAAATCGGATGACTCAGATTCCAATCTTGAGGTGTTTTGCTAATTCACTATAGTCTACCCACTCTCTTGAGTGCGTATTCCGTTTCACACCTAACCCCGTTTATGTTAGATGGTGGCTTGTGCGTCTGCAAGGCAAATGTTTGTACATGAAGCCCAGTCGCACTAGGACCCAGATCACGGATGCGTTTATTGACGCGACTGTACGGTAGAGCCGGGGCAGGCATGCGCGGTTCCGCGGGGACGTCACCGGCTCGCGTGGCCGCTGTGTTTGGAGCGGAGGGTGAGGACGGCGCCTGAGCTCTGCTTGAGCTCTGCTTGAGCCGATTCGGGTCGGGCAAGATGTGAGTTTCCATTTGGTGCACCACGGGGGCGTGATCCACGGGCTGCCGGCCGTTCACACGTGAAAGCAAAAGCACTTCATGTGGCCTCGTACAGGTTACAAACTACACAGTTGACCAGGAATAACACAGCACAAGTGCCTCTCCCCTAAGTAGGTGAAGTGCTTTTTAAACAGTCCATGGCGTCTCGGTAGCTCTGTTTTAAAGTCTTCGCACTGCATGGCGAAGGTGGTGCATGCATCACGGCCGCGCCATGGACCAGCAAGTACGAAAGTGAGATCTTCCCTCCAGGGGTGTAGTAACTGCTGAAGTGAGCATTACGCGCACACGGCCAGGTGATGTAGTCCACAGGTCAGGAGTGAGTGTATATGGATCAATCCACGGTGTTTTTGTGAAGCCGCTGTTTTACTGGAGGAACTGCGGGCTGGCCAGAGCCATCAGAGCAATTCCTGGCTTTTCATCGCGTCGAAAGCGGTCCAGGTCTCAGTACTTTGTCCCTAGAAAGTAAAGTTCGGCTCGAGTGACGGTTCCCGCTCTTAAAAGTGCAGAGTAACCGTGCTGTTACAGGGGAAGAAAAAAAGGTTTTCGGCCGAAATAATCGCGCCAGTCGATACTTCTTTTAAAAATAATGAGTACGTGTAAGACGGTAATTTACAGAGTTTAAAAGATTAACCTGCCAGTTATACTGTTACCTAGTGTCTTTGGATCACTCCATGAAGTCCCTTACTTCCAGCGCGTTTCAAGTTGCATATTCTGTAAGTGGCGTGTGGCTTACTCAAGTGACGGCCTCTCTGTCCCGACTAGAGAGGTGCCTGGCCAGCCCCCCCCCCCCCCGTGGGTACAGGGGATCGGAGCTCCTTATGGCTGCGACTCCAGCGAGCACCAGGGCAGATGCCGCCAAGGAACGCCACACCAAAGAGAGGAGAGCCAGACAGAAGCTGAAGGAGGCCCTGGCGTCCTGCCTGGCCACAGATCTCCACAGGTAACCACTTGAGGGGACACCGAGGGGTGACAGTCCCTCACAATAGTCCCAGCAGGGCCTGGTATTTGCTTCCCTCGTGGCCCTGAAACCCCCCAGTCCCTGGGTACGACCCCTGTCTGGAAGGACTGCTGGAAGAGCCGTGTCAGTGGCTTCTGAACAACATCTCACATCTCCTTGACTACAGCTGGTAAAACACTACCTGGGGACTCAGTACTCTTGAGTGCTGCCAGTGCCCGGAAGACTCCAGCGCTGCCCTAGGCCGATAACTGCTGAGCTTCAGTTTAAGACCCGAGCCAGGCCTCTCCTGTGTTCTGTTGCAGAGGTATAACAAAATGGGGAGAAAGTCCCAGGTGGAAACTGGCTCTGGAGGCCAAGATCAGTAAGAGGTTTTAATAGCGAGCTCTGCCTTTCTCTGCCTCATGCATGTTAATGAACACGTGAGTCCATCAGCTGTGCCCCTTGTGGTGTCTTAATCAGAAGTTTCCCGGTTTGCTTTGTCTGAGAAAAGACACTGAAGCAGTGGCTGGAGGTGGTGAAAGGACACAGCTGGCCAGTAGATGCTTTTTAGAGACCCCTCCCCGTTCACTGGTTTTCATTTTCTTATAACAGAAGGGAGAACACGGGTTTTGCATTTTGAATTTATTATTATTTCGGTGGTGAATGAAGTTCTGGCTACTAACCTGTGAAGGTGGCAGGTGAGGTGTTTGCTCTGGCTGGTGCTAGAAGAGCCAGCTGTGGAGACACCCCGAAACCCTGCAGAGACCGGCCGGCCTGTCCCACTGCGCTGTGCGGCTCCCCTGGTCCGGACCGCGGGGTGTTGTCTCTCTCCCTCCTTGGCGTCTGCGCCGACCGCTTCCCTCTGACGCTCCTCGCCGACCCAGTGCTGGTTCTGAGTGGGTCCCGCGGCTCCAGAGAGACCGCGGTCCAGAGGTGTAGGCCCGACTGCGTGTCTGCCCAGCCGGTCAAGCGTGTCTGATCGCAGGTCTCGCGTGAGATTTGGGCAGCAGTTAAACCACCTGTAGGACAAGCAAACCGGCTTTGACACAAGAGTGTTGTCCGTCTCACCGAATTGTTCTATTTTTGTACGTACTGGTAGAAGGTAAATCCCACTGGCATTTGCAAAGATGTATGTTCAAAGACTTAAACTTGATATTTGTTTATACTAAATTTTGCGACTAGACCAGGGTGTTTTTACTACAATAAATAAAAAATAGGAAACAGATTTGAGAAGATTTCATTCTAGTCCTGAATAAGTCTATCTGCAAAGACTTGTACATTTAAATATGTGCTGAATGAGTCACTGGGCTCAAGTGAAAGGGTTCTGCTGGTTGTCTTGGGTGTTTTCTAGTGGTCAAATTCTGCTTTTTCACCGGTGTGGAAACATGACTGGTGTCCCAGTAGTACATCAAGACGGGAGCCAGTTGGATTGTCCAGTGCAAGCGCACTGGGTGTCCAGATCCCTTTTCAGCTCTCTTTCTGTCCTGGGATCACTCACCCCGAGGGCACAGCGTTAGAGACGGGAGGGGATTTTATTTCATTTTGCCACCCTGTCACGCCTCGCAGCTGGGAGTCCTTGGTGCTCAGTGACAAACCTGCCCCTCCGATTCAGCGATGTGCTGTGAGGTCCGGTCTTCCAGCCGGGCCAGGGAACAGTAAACCGTGCTGTGTGCAGCCGGTCCGGTTGCTGGCAGGAGTTCCCATGAGCGTCGTGATCTTGTTCTCCCAGCAGCCCGCGGGCTCAGACACCGCCGTGCTCCAGGTTTCTTCAGTCTGGCGCTGTGGATCACTGGGCATGTGGAGTTCATCCCACTTCGCAGTCTGTTAGGGGGAGTAATCAACTTAGGGTTCTGTTTAATGATGGATTTTCAGTGTGTTTGTTTGTTTGTCATGAGCCTGATAGACTCACGGCGATGCCCCAGCGGTTGTGTGCTGTCACAGGGTTTTCGTGGGCTTAGTTAAAGTCATTTCTGGCGGAGTTAATAGAATGGGGTTCGGAGGCTGGATTTGCACGTGAAATCTCCAGTCTTTGACGCTTATACCACTGTTCTGCTGGAGGCTTTCGTTGCATTTCTTATTGGGATAAAATCATCATTTGTTTCATCCCCTGCTGTGTCGGGCGCAGACTACAGTTTCCAGCTCAGGCCATATGTCTGGTTTTGTTATAATCACCTAAGCCACTGTAAAGCTGTGTTGATGTTCTATACCTAATGAACACAAACAATATTTTTTGCCTTGTGAAGTTCAAATCCCAGCTGGCTCAGCTTATGAAGGGAACATCAAAGCGTTCTAGCGGAAAATGACATCCGTCAAGCGCATTGCTCGACACGTTACAGTTTGCTGGAGGCCTTGTCAGACGGTGGCTGTAAAGTCGGCAGTGTAAATGCAGCGCTTCATGTGACAAAAGACAGCAGGCTTGCTGTAAGGAAATGTCCTTGTGAAGATAGAGACGGTTTGAAAGATGATGCAAGATATTCTGCCAGAGGAAACTACCTCCCCTCGCCTTTCTTTCCTCTACAAAATGCTGGAAGATGCAAATATTTCTGTGTCCGGATTGGTTGCGCTTAGAGATTCAACCCCCTCGCCCTCCTGCCTCCCCGTGCTTCTACAGACGGTGGCCGATGTACAGTATGAAATTGAAATTATTAAGGGTCATCACCTATCGCGTAAAGAAAAACCATCCCAGAGTGTTTCACCAGCCTGAAACTGATCAAGCAGAATGAGGATGTAGCAGAATGATAAATATATACTTTAATAAAAGCAGAGTGAATGAACAGAGTTCTTGTCTAAAAAATAAGCTTCCCACCTGGGTTTGAAAGTATCGTGCGCGTCGCTGTCCACAGCCCGGGACAGAGAGGAACGCGCTCCTGCTCTGCACGATCAGCACCCCAGGGACACGTGCCTGGCCCGGAACCAGGGACCAGTGACTGTGTAGGAGCTGGAGAAGGAGCATCACAGGCGGGACTGGGAGCTGAAAGCATTCAGAGCTGTAACATGTCAGGGGTGGGATTTTGACTTTGTCCCTGAAGATAAGTGATTGTTCCGCAGCTGGTGTGCAACAGTTTGACCCTCTGACGTTGCCTCTCTCCCCAGGCTGCTGACAGAGGAGTCCCAGACAGACATAGTGCTCCGTGTCGGATCCGCGACATTCCGGGCCCACAGAGCCGTGCTGCTGGCCAGAGCCCCTGAACTGCTGCAGGACTCTCAGCACAACTCCGAGTGCATCCAAGTGGAAAACTTTGAGCCCTCCGAATTCGAGAACTTTTTACGGTATTGTTTTCAAACATTGTTGGTCAGTGCACGGGGGATAATTTTCTTGACAGCCTGTCTCATCTTAGAGCTGTTGCTGTCTAGGTACGTGTGGGGAATTTCAAACTCCCCAGCAAAAATAGGGAAATAGAGGGTGTTGGTGTGGTTTTCAAGTTGATTTAGTGTGTTGGAGGAATTCTAGTAGGGAGCTGCGTCAGCATGCGTAGGCTGCACAGGAACAGGTAAGGGTTTATTCCACGCTGAAGGAAAGAGAAAAGAAAAAAAATATTTTTACCTGTAACAATTTTCACCAGCCCGTACTTACCCTCACAAGAGGGTCTGCTGGACTCTCATTGCAGATTTGTCCTAGTTTTAACGTTGGAAGGAGACAATTCTATTTGAAAACAAGCACTGCTGTGTTGTCCTGAGGTGTTCCACCTGAGCTCTCCGTTCTTTGATTGGTTTGATTGATACGTCGTATAAATGTAGTACTGCTTTTCTGTCCAGCCAAAGCTGTGAAGGTGTGAACCTGGAATGAATAGCATGTTCTAAGTGATCTAAGTCAAGGAAGACAGGAGGTCTCGTCCTCAAGTCACAGCATTCCAGCAGGAACACGTGCTCCTGCTGCTGCTTGTGGAGGTGGATCTGTGACTGACCCCCCTCACACCTCGGCAGCACTGAGCATCTGTGGGGCATCTGGAGCTGAGAGACCCCTGAGATGGCACAGGCCTGCCTGGGCTGTAGCAGAGGAAAGAGACAAATAGACATCTCCGTTACTAAATTAGCCCTACAATAACAATGTTCTGCATTGCTAATAAATCTTTATTCTTCAGTATGAGTAAAATCTTACATCTTTCTTTTAATATTGCATCTGCTTTTATTTTGATTTCCTGCCTGATTTGCTGTGCCCATCATAATTAGTCTTTTTTATTCATGAAAAGTATCTCATATCGGCAGGAGTGGTTTATTTTCAGGGTGCACTGATAAGAGATCGCAGTTTATGATTGTAAAAATGTGCAAATTATTCCCCCACTTATATAGAATAATGCAATGTGTGTGGGTTTGCCACTCAGCCCCTTTGTGCAGAGTGTTTGTTGTGCACAAGCTCTCTTCAAGCCCTCAGGCTGGAGTGCTGTCAGGAAGTGCTGAGATGCTACAGTGCCATTACTGTCTCGCATGGATGATGGCTGATCAGTACAGGTGCTGCAAGGCAGCACAAATAGGTGAGCATGGTATGACCACTTTGTGTGAGTGGGGCAATTCAGGAACCCTGCGCCGGGTAAGGAGGCAGCCTCCTATTGCAAACACCTGCTCAGGTGTATAACGCTGCCCTAGGCTAGGACTGTTAGCCCTTCATTTGCTCGTCTATGGACAGCATGTCGCTCCATTGTTCTTTTTGGACACTCAATCTGTATATACCTATGCACATTTTGCACATATATTATTGTTTTTACAGTGACTATGATCATATTTTGCACACACCTGTGTATTAATTTTTATTTATTTTATTTTATATTATACTTATTTTGTATTACTGTACATATTCCGATTTTTTTGCCTATCCTGATGTCTGTTTTTTTTGCTCGTCTTGGGCTGGACTGCTGTAACACATCAATTTCCCTTCGGGATCAATAAAGTCTTATCTCTCTGTCTGTCTATCTATCTAGTTCTTGCTGATCTGGATTGTGTGCACATCTGGCAGCTGGAGGAATCTTGAAGGCAGCAGAAAACAGCCTAAATGAATCGAATCTAAAAAATGCATTGACTTTTGTAAGATGTTTTGATCAGGTGTAAGAGCTAGTGTTACTGTATGAGATCTTAGGTATGTCGGTATGCCCTTTTTATTCCTCCAAGGTGTCTGTGCTTTTTTGTCCTGGTTTGGAATCTCAGGGTGTTTTGCTAGGGTGATCCCGTGTGGTCTTGCTCTGTGTTGCCAGCCCCTGTTTCCTGGGGTTCCTTGCAACCATGTGTGCTGGCACGTGCACGCAGGGGGATCTGATCTGTGCTGTCGCTCCCCCGCGCCTGCAGGCTCGTGTACACCGCGGACCGGAGGGTGAGCCCTCCGCGGCCGGGCGAGGAGAGGGCCGGGGGCGAGGAGGTGCCCGATGCACGCCGCAGGACAGGGGCCACGGAAGCCAGCGGTCTCTCGGGTGAGCCCCCGTGTGCTCGGTCCCGCAGCCTCCTGGCTGCTCACTCGGGCCTCTTATCTGCCCAGGGGTCTGACTGAGCCTCGTGATTGGCTGTTAGGGATCTCCATTTGGGACCCTTGAAGAAGAGGCACTTGTCTCAGTGGAGCTCAGCTCTCTCCTTCCCTTAACGTAAAACCATTCACTGTCAGTCCCAGCAGCACATTGCATGCAGTTTTACAGGTGTGTATATTCTTTGCTGTGATTACAGAGACGTGTCTGCATTAACACCTTTTTTCTTCTGTGAACACCCCTCAGACACTGCAGCTCCGGAGCCGGCCTCTGTGCTTGGAGTGGATCTGCTTTCGCTGTTTAAAAGCGGAGAATCCTCCGATATCAGCATTCAGGCTGGGACTCGTGTGTTCAGAGCTCACAGGTACAGCCCAGCCCGATAATATTCTGTTTAAACCACTTTTCACTGCACCTTAACACTTCGTGCTCACTGCTGTAGGTCCGTGTATCTGCCTGTGTACAGTCCAGAGTGTTTTTCATCATTTGGGTCAGGTGGGACCAGTCGTGGCCAACAGAACAGAGCAGCTCCTTGCCTTGAGGCTCAGCAGGGCTTGTGAAGCGGACTTAATAAAGCAGTGTTTGAGCACGTGGTTGTCCAGAGCTTCAGGAGACCCCTTCCCTGTTGCTCCAGCTGACCTGCAGCCACAGTGCTGAGAGCTCAGCTCTGAAATGTCTGTGTTCTTCACAAGAGGCAGAGCCTAACAGCCCTGCAGTTAGTGAGAAATGAAGTAACGGTGCAGTTTTTCAGTTACCACTGAGATCAATTCAGTGTCTCAGGAGCTCAGGCCTTGTGAGTGCTTACGTTATATCAGCATGATTGTCTCGGAGCTACTGTACAGCCGTCAGTGACAAATTGCACCTGTTACTGCCATGCAAAACCAACCCAGTTCATCTGCCGAGTAGTGTTGCTTATTCCTGCAGGAAGTAAAGTAAGTCTGGGGCTCAGAGAGGCTCAGCCAGTGCAGCCACAGCCCTGCAGTCTGGGCGGTGTGGTTTTAACTCCGTGCCGTGAGCCTGCGGAGGTCTCCAGGCTCTCGTTTCCAGGGAGAGCGCAGTGGGGAGCCGGGGGGATCCGTTTCCGAATTGAAGGAATGTAAACGGGAATCTCCTTGCTTTGATTTTAAAGGTTTTAATCATCATCTTCCAGCTAATGCTGAGCAAAGCAGCTGAGCAAATACTTTCCTTGGAGCCTGTTAGTGTGATGTTTGGTTAGATCTTGGGAATTTGTGGCTGGAGGTGACGGATAGTGTTCCGCCTCTTTTGAAGGGTTGTGTGTTTTTTCAGGTCAGCTCTGTAGGATATTCTGACAAGTGCTTAAACACGGCAGACATGACACAGACATTCCCCAAGAACACTCATGTAACAGCCACACGCAGCGCGTTCATTCCTAATGTGAAGCGTGTCAGGGCGATTAGAAACCAGGTCCGAAACGGGTAAATAACAGAGTAATTCCAGAACGACTGCAGTGCCGTTGGCTTGTGTGCAGCTTGGACTGAACACCGGTTTTCTCCCAGATGGGTGTCTTTCATAGCAAGAAGATTTTGCTCTCGCACAATGACAGCTTCCAAGCTGGCATGGCGACAGATACAGGGAGATGTCTGTGACAGGACTTTCTACAGAAATCTGTACCTTCTGTTGTTAAAGGCAGATATTAAAATAACATCCGGCTTGGGGTGTTCCGGATCCTATTCAATCGGGAAAGTTTGCTTTTTTTTTTTTTCCTCTCCTGTGCCTTCTTTATAACAGAACTCCTGTGAAGAACCCATTTAATTTACGGATTGGCCTGTTTTAGCTGACATGGTAGAAGTCAGTTGTTTTTCTGAGTTAGGTTACATTTTGCAAAGGGATAATTCAGGATATCCAGAAAATATAATCTTGCATGTGTTCAGCATGTTGGTTATCATTTAGTAGATTTTATGCTCTTTTAAATGGCTGTATTGAATTCTTCAATAAGGGCGTGTAGACTTTTGGTATCCACTGTATAACGGGCGGGTATTTTCATGTGAGTGATGTGCCCAGCTCCCTGCATGGTGAGGTCACAGGTGTGCGTCTCTCTGCCCGGCTGCTCTTCCCCTCCAGGGCTGTCCTCGCGGCTCGATCCCGGTACTTCTCTGCCATGCTGAGCGGGAACTGGCTGGAGAGCTCCCAGCAGCTCATCGCGCTGCACGGGTAGGTCCTGCGGGGGTCCCCGACGGGGGGGGCTCGCCTCTGACGGTCTCAGCAGGTCTGCGGGGTCACCAGTGGGCAGGGAGTTACACGGCCGCTCTCGACACAAGCCTCCACACCGAAGTCAGCCAGTTTGTATCCGTGCTGTAGGTCTCGCCTTTCAATCCAGAGTCTTCTCAAAGCTCTTTATGTGAATGATCTCAACCAGTAGGTGGTAAACAGAATGGAGCATGTCAATACTTGAAACATGTATAAACGTGAGATTTAAATAAGGAAATAGGTTAAGAATTGAAGGCCATGAAAATGTTTCATTGAAAATCTAATTTATTTCATGATTTCAGGCAGGGGATTGGAGTAAAGAAGTCTGTTAGTGAAGGGCTTCTGCAATATCGATGCCCAGTTTGTAAAAACGTGTTAAAACGTGAAATGGATCTGGTGTATTTGCCACTGCAGGAGATTCATCGGCTTTTCTTGTTCCACCACGCAACCGTTTGTCTTGAAGTCTGCGAAGCTGGTTGAGCTATTAATGCATCAGCCGGCGCCCACTGTTTCTTTCACGATTCATTTCGAATGAGCAGAGCCATTTGTAAATGAGGAGGTTTTACTTAATATGATATAACAAATATCTGCACTGTTATAAATTTGCTTGAAAGAATCTCGGCAGATGCTTTCTTTTTTTTGAGAATGTTTAATGTTCCGAAGCAAACCAAACAATGTCCTTTCGGTAACTGTCCTGTGATTGCCCACCGCCCTCGCTTTGTAATGGGCACACCTGGAGGCCTTCAGTCTTGATTGCTCGGCCCGTCCTAAGAGAAGCGATGAGCCGGTAGGTCTGGCCTTGCTGGAAGAGATCGGTCTGAGCCCTGCCTTGCTGTTGCTCGTCACCACGAATCCTTGTACACGCAGAGGCAGGGCGGCTGTAGTCTGTGAGCCGTGATAGATTAGGTTTAAGGATTTAATTGTGATCCAGCTCGCTAGAACCTTGGATGACATAATGGGGAAAAAATCTACCATGACTGCTGATAATTCTTTGCGCTAACTTGCTAATTGCATTTCAAGATGGTCACACATGGCTCATTCATCCCCTTTCTGCTCTAGTGTAGAATCGAGTGGCAGGTGGATAGAGTGGAGTTTAATGGAATGGCTGGCAGACCTATCCTTCTTATTTCGTGTGGATTGGATTACGGATAAATGTGCCTGTTGTTGTACTTGTGTTTCATATTTTTGCAGTATGTGTTCTCCTAATAATAATTCTCTTTACTTCTTGATCTATAGCATCAAGGGAACGCTCTAGGAAAAAAAATGTTCTTTCTACAGTGCAAAAGATACTATTTGTTTTGTTTGCTGTTTTGGGAGAGGGTGTTTTTAAAAGGTAATCCATTACTATCCGTTAAAGTTAAAGGTTTGAGGGATTCATTTTTCAAATTAACAACAATTCAAGGGAAATTTATTTTTAAGAGGTAATTCGTCACTTTATGTCGTAGCTATATAATTCTACATTAAGTGCATAGATCACTTCTTTGTTATGAACTGTTAAAATAATTTTCCCCCAACCTTTTGTTTGTTGTAAAAGGTAATCCCTTGTAACTGGTGATGGGTTATTTATAAAACTTACTTTCTTTTGCAATGTTTGTGTAAAAGGAAAAACATTCTGTATTTGAACAGACCTTTTATTTCTCTCGACGTGCTGCTATTTAGAAACTTGCTGCTCTTTAGTTTTAAAATTCTCTGTTGTGTATACAGTAAAATTACGTCCTGCGGAGGAACACTATACATGATCATGGCTGCGTCGAATACATTTCTTTGCACCAGCTCTCTTTAGCTAAAATAGGGGCTTTCGTGACATAACTGTGCAGAGGCTTAAAGAATTGTCAGACTGGTGACTGGACAGTGAACGATGATCAGTGTATTTGTGGTTTAATGCTCACTGATGCTTGAGGGTTATTAACCTGCTCGTCTGTTCTGAGCAGAAGAATGCTCTGGTCCGTAGGCGTGCCGCGGTCGGTCAGACTCTATCGGTGACCTTCCCAGTGTGGTTGTGTGCTGGAAGCCACAGGCTGGGTAAAAGGTTGAAATGAGTCAGACCGGGCTGTGGTGCTGTGCTGCAGAGTTGGCCCGGCGGAAGTGGAGATCCTGCTGCACTTTATTTACGGAGCTCTTCTGGACCTGCCGCCGGGAGCCAACGTCAGGTAGGCAGCGAGCGTGTCTCTCTAAATTCCCTTGGTGAATGTTGGGATTAACCTTTTGCGATTTTTATTTCTTCTGTGCAATGGCAGTAATGATTCCCAGAATAGTCAGGGAAAGGTGCGTCGGCATTAATCCTGACCTGACGCCATCTGAGCTCTGAATTTCCCCAATAAAACCCTTGTTAACATCTTTCCTCAGGCCTAACTGCAAATAACTGTGCATGGGGCAAAAGCCTTTTTCTTTGTTTCTTCACTGTGGAAAACAAAAGGAAGTCTGTTTTCTATAAACACTTCTCATTTTAGAGTTTGGCTCCTGGCAAATTGCTTTTGCTCTCCAGAGTGCAATGCTTGAACGCAAGTGAAAGCTCGATACAGCAGCTGACACTGCCTTTCACCTGCGGCAGCCTCCGCTGGGCCGTGACGGAGATCAGGGTCCTTCAGCTGGCCTCGCCCGCTCTCTTACTTGCCCGTTAACCTGGAAGTGTTGCTCTCTTCTCAGCCAGGTGCTCTTCGCGGCCAACATGCTCCTCCTGGACGGCCTGACTGGTGTGGTGGAGTTCCTCCTGCTGAGAGACTACTGCAGGTTCTTCCCCGAGGTACCCCTGCCCGTGGCTGTGCGGGTCTCGCCGGGTGTGGAGTCGCCCCGGTTTGGCGCTGGTGTGCACGCGGTTGAGAAGCCTCGCTCGCTGTGCCGTCGGGATCGGGGCGCCGCCGCTGTGCCAGCCTGCCGCCTCAGGAGTCTCTGAAAGAGCTCTGATTTTTACATCTCGAGCGCCGGGTGGCAACTGAAGCCGCACAGCTGCTCCTGAGCGGTGCTCTTCCTCTGATGCCGTGCAGTGTTGGGGACCGTGGCAACACGAAGTGCAACGCACGACACTAAAAGGACACATTCTTGCCACCCTCTTCGGTGGTTTTCGAGCATGCACTCCGCCTTCACCTTTTATCCCCCCAAAACGGCTTCCTAGAGATGTTCTTAAAATAAACTGTGCAGGTTCCTCGGCTCCAGCCCTGTGCCCTCCAGGGGAGCCTCCTCACGGCGAGCTGGGGCAGGGGTGCACCCCTCAGGGAGGGGTGCAGAGGGGAAGGCGCTCTGGGCTGAGGCTTAGACATCGTTGCCACAGATCCGCTGAGGCCCTTCCTGTAGGGAGTGACGGCAGATCAAGGTAGCAGGTACTTCAGAAATCAGTGAACCTGAAACTGCACAGTAAGGAGCATCACGCCAGGAATGCTGTTCATGGGCATACATGAGCGGTTGTGAGGATTGCTCTAAGCCTGTTTGTGGAAGGTTGTGACCTTCCTCTCTGCTTTGTCACAGACCTCAGCTCGGGGGCCTCTTGTGCCTGTGAACGGTAGTGAGAAGCGATTACTGCCAGAGCAATCAGGACTGTGTATCAGTGCATTTCTGGGGGACTGAATGGAATGCTGCGTTTTATTAGAGATGTGAATCCCGCAGTCTTATTGGGGTACAGTTTGAAAGGGGTACAGGCTCTTCTGTTTCTTGGGCTGTGTGCCTTGCTCTCAGAGGTCACTGTTTTTGTTGAATGTCATTGCTCTAAAAGCCTTTCCGTTCCTGACTGTGTGGGTATGAGGCACCAAGCATACAGGGAACTCAGGACAGTAAGTAGGTCACACAAAAGATGTGTTTAGCTGTCGTTCTCTGTTTTTTTTAATGCCCCCATCTCTTCGTTTCTGAAATAATGTGCTTTGTGAAGAAGTTATTATTCTAGTTGCAGCCTAGTACAGTGTTTTGGAGATTCTGCGAGCGGCGCTGTGTTCATTGTCAGATCCCAGAGGTTAAAGCCAAGTGGGTTATCAGGAGAGAACCTTCTGTTAGAACACGTAATGGGATTAGATGTTCAGAGCAGTGTGTTCTGAAAGGGGGGGGGTTCTGCACTGAGGCCCGGGATGCTGGTACTCCTGACACTGTAGAGGTCCTGGTCTCCCGCAAGCCTTTTACCACATCTGATTCGTTGACAATGATGCGACAAAGCTGATTTGTTAAAGATCACCGTTTGAATAAATTTGCCCACAGCATACTGTAGCTGCCATGTGCAGAGTGTCTGTGTGACCGTTACGCGTGAAGGATCCAAGTGCAACCCGTAGTGCAGTGGCTTCATGGAGCTTTTATTGGACTGTTCAGGGGCTAGAGGAAGCCGCTCCAGGCCCGATATTTGTGTTCTGCTGTGCGTGCGAAGACAAAAGAAACAGCCCTTCAAGTACACTAAAAGCGACAGTGCCAGTTCACCTGCTTGTTACTGCTGTGGTGCTGGGCTGTGATGAGGACCCCTCAAAGAGAGGGGCGAGAGCCGTCTCCAGCAAACGAGACAGATGAGCGCAGACGGCAGGAAAATGCTCACTGGTTTTTCAGTGCATATACTGAGTGACTGCCATTTTTTTTCTGTTTCACGTGTACTTACTGTATTTGGCTGTATTTTTTTAATACAGGAACAGCCTCTTTTCAGATACTAATAAAGCATGTAAACATTTAACACATTATTCTTGCTCTAGCTCCATGGTAATAATGTGATAAATGTGTTCAGTGGTTCTTGTGTCTTCATAGCAGAGGTATCATTTACAGGCTCTGTTTTTAATTCTTTTTCATATGTGTGAAATTACATTGTCGTGCTTGTAAATACTCTGCATGGGTTACGGGCTGAGCTGGATTGTCTAGATCTTGTAAATTGCAAACTTTGTTGAAAAATTCGTTGTGTGCACTTTATGAATGTAGATGGCTTTGCTGCTAGAAAATATTACTGTAGGTCATTTTAAAATGCAGTCCTTTCTGCCGCTGACAAAACCCTCGGTGATGGGGTCTGCTCTTTTGAGAAATGACAGTCTGGTAACTGTGAGACACCCCGTTCTAGTTAAAGACAAAGGGTGAAACCCGTTTTGCAAGTTTCGGTGCCAGTCAGTGGGGGGAAAAAAGACAGACATCCCCTTTCAGGAGCAAACAAAAGCATTTCTGTATAAACCTGCAGGTGATGTGATTAGTAACGCCAGCGCATTGATCTTGCTTCGTGTTCGTGATTTTCCATTTGTGGCTCCAGTAGTAATTTGACGAGTGCCGAGCACGGGCTCTCGTTCCAGGCGATTGTTCGTTCAGTCGTTTAATCGACTGTTCCCCGGGCTTATCTGGGGTTGGAGTACAGCTGCAGTTTCCGAAGCGCGTGCCGTGAGGGGAGATGGCAGCAGAGCCTCACACCCTTTCTCTCTCTCTGTGGTGCTTTTCCAGCCAGGAGACGGTGTCCAGAAGTCTATCGTAGAGTGCCTGTCGATATCTCATTCCCTGGGCCTCCAGCACCTCTATGGTCTGTGTTCAAGGTGAGTCCTTCTAAGCTCCGGAAGGCGACACTTTATTTAGCGAGCACGGCTCCGAGTGCCTCGGGTCACTCCTGCGTTGGATCGAAGGTGCCTGTACCTGTAAGAAAACACGAGTGGGGCTCAGCAAAGTGATTAGTCCTCCAGCTGTGAAGTGGTGTTCGGAGATTTGAAGTTCAGCTCTCCCCGTGGCTGTGCAAACCTCTGTCCGCCGGCGACTTGATTGATGGATCTGAGCATATGAAGCTCGGCGGCCCTCAATACCGTTGTCCCAGATCAGACTAGGTTGGTTTTCCCTACGTGGCAAGCTCCTTGGGCTGACGACAAAATCCATCAGATAAAAGGGGAACGTCAATAAATGGGACGTAAGTGGAAGGCCACGGAACTGCTTATTGACCGTGACGGCAGGAGAGGACGTTTACTGAGGTTCAGTGGCTCTGTGAAAGCAGCCGGTGGCCTTGCAAGCTGGGCACCTGTGCAGGGAGTCGAGACAGGACGGCCCGTGACTCTGTGCTCCTTCCAGTGCACTGCTTCCCTGGAGCAGGCGTGGGCCCAGGGGGCGGAGGGGGGGCTGACCGGGGCGTGAGTGACATCACCTTGCCAGACGTCAGCCATTTCCCAGACTGGCAGGGTGGTGAGGGCTGTGTTACCACACCTCCTGTGTTACTTCTTAATGGTGTTTTATCAAGCTTTCCTTTCTGGTCTGCTTTCCATTTCCAGGTGGATCGTGGATAATTTTGTGAAATGCTGGTCAGAAAGAAGCTTTGGTCTCCTGTCGCCTGCAGTCCAGAAGGATTGTCTAGCTTGTCTGGTAAAGACCATGGTATGTCTCCCAATCACGCCTAAAGCTGCTTGAGCCAGGTTGTGCACGATTTTAGCCCGAAGAATTATTTGGATCAGCTGTGGATATGCAGGAAATGTAGTTTTCCTTGATAATTGTCTCTCTACTGCTTTGTAATTAACCCCCAGTGCTGTAGGGCACTGTTGCAACTGAGATCAGCACTAGCAAGCAAGAGGATTTGAGTATTCTTAACTTCTGCTCGTGCCGTCATGAACTGTGGAAAGGTTTACACAACATATTCCAGTTTCTCCCAGCTCAACCTCACGCATCCTCGCAGACATCCCATTTTTTCACTCACTGTTTCCTTCTCTCTGCAAACTGATCTTCCAGTTCGCATTCTGACAGCGATGGAAGAAATGAGCAGCATGAGTAACAGGAGCACCGTTAATTTGATTCCCAGTAATGACCAGTTAATCGGGTTCGAAAACAATAGGGGTATTGAACGGCAAAGCCATCACCGCTTGTAATGGAGTCTGTCTGCATCCTTTCTTCCTCGCTGCTGTAGACCACAGTTCCCTGGGCTGCAACAAAAGGAACAGGCGAGCTCAGCTCCAAAGTACACACACTGCAAGATTGCAGATTGTTGTGCTCTTCTGCCACAGCGACAGAGCTGTCTTTTAATACCAGATCCTGGGTTCTTGTGTGCAGGAACACTGGCACATCTAGATCCTAAACTGGGCTTCTCCTAGTGTGGAATGTGGCCGAGTAACATTGATGATCATTCGTAACAACAGTAATAATGATGGTGATGATGAAAAACTCAATATTTTGTATAATGCCTTTCATCAAATCACTGTAAGTAAATAGAACAAAGAGAAACAATTCTAAAAAGGAAAAAAAGGAATTTAACATTTGCAGAAGCAAATATGAAAAAGAGTAAGTAGGTCAGTTGTGTTTTTGTGGGCGCCCCTGACGTTGTCTCTTCCGTCTGCCTGTTGCCTCAGAGCGTGGGGAAGGTGGTGCCGCTGCTGACCGGCAGCGAGCGCCTGATGTCCTGCCTGCCCGCGGTCAGCTGGGCGAAGCAGACCTCGTCTCTGGCTGCCGCGCTGCAGGAGGAGTGCCTGCGCTTCGCTGCCGCCCACTTCCCCGCGGTCACCAAGACCGGGCCCTTCCTGCGGCTCCATTCGGTAACGCCTCTTACCTGTTGCTCTCTGACTTTCCCCACAGTTCTAGCCAGTGTGCATTTACCCATCTGCGACGTGCTGCTTATATTCCTGTTTGAACATTCGGGGCCAGGCTGCTGTTGCAGCAGAGCCTCAGTCCCCAGTCTCCTATATCGAATAAGTCTCAGCTGCGGGTCCAGATCGACACTTTCTGTTGGCCCTGGGCTAAAGACTTTTGTGAGGCCTCCAGCTAATAAGTCTTTTATTCAATCTGAAACGCAGCCGTAACTCTGCTACAGAGTCCGTTAATGCTACACTAAACATGCCTTTTGATCAAGATGAGGTGGCTTCAAAATGTAATTCCGAGGTGCCTGGGCACTTTCTGGTTTTGGGGGGATCCCAGAGTCTCATTGTCTCCCCTGAAAGCAAGCCCGTGCCTAATCAGAAGCCTGTGAACTGCAGTGTGTTCTTAAAGCCGTAACCAGTCAGTGCACTTGCAGATCTCGCCCAGCAAAAACACGCCCTTTCAAAGCTTGGGGCGATTTGCCCGTGCTGTGAAGTCCAAGGGGGCTTTTGCTGGTGCTGGGCACCTTTTGCTGAGGTTTGTACTGTTTTCCAGATTTCAAAAACTCCCAGTTTTTTGTTTTGTTGTTGTTTTGACAATTTTGTTGAAATTGTCTGCCCTTTTGTGATCCTGTAAGATCCCAGCCTGCCACCTCAGTGCTGCAGGAGTCTGCGATAAATGCGTTCGCTGTGGTCATTTTCAGATGGGTGATCTTCCTCAGTGTTGGGATCTGAAATGTCTGGCTCGGGCTTGCCTGCCGTTTCTTGCTCGCTTGCTGGGTTAACATTGCTGCCCATCGCTGGCACGCCGGCCTGTTGCCTGTGTTTTGTTGGTTTTACTGAAGCAGCTTGTTCAGTTTGCTCATCTGTTGAACATCGCTCCCTAACTGCTCTGCACTGCAGCACAGATTCACCGGAAGCAAGCAAAAGCAGCAGGACAATAGGCTGGCAAAAGAGCTTTGATTTTCTCTTGCATGTTTCCTTGCATGTCTTTATTTTCTGGGGCCCCAATAAGCCCCAAGACCCTGGGGGCAGTACCTAAAGCCCCTGTGTTAATCCCAGCCTGCTCAGATCAGACCCCCCTGCCCATAGCCAAGATCCTTGTCTTGGAGATCGCTGGGAAAAAAAGGTAACGGCTTTTATTTTTGTGCTGGGGAGGGAGCTAGATGCACACACAGTTTTAATTTCTTTACATGACCTCTTGGTTCATAATTCTGTATTTGTCCGCATCTAAAACCATATGAAAAGAGAATGGGGCGATTTTATTTTTATAGCTTGTTTAACATTAGCAAGAGAGAGAGAGACAGGCTCATTAGCTGAACCTTTTCTACTGTTCTACTGGCTCTGACTGTGTGCCTTGTTAATGGACTGCAATGAGTCAGACAGCCAGAGTCCTCCTCCACCAGTGCGATGATCATGGCTGTCTGCTGAATGTACTCAACCAGTACTGTGTTACACGAACAGCAAGCTCTGTTGTTCTTTAAGCTTGCGTGTCATTATGGAAGGCTCTTTTTAATGGGAAGTTTAAAAACGATGATAGTGCTATAACATTTTAATCCTTTAACGAGGATGTTTCGAGCCGATTCCTTTGGTTTTTGTGATGATTTCCTCTGTGCTGCTGGATCTGGCGAGTAGGGATCGTGACAGGCACGGGATGAGGACAGACTGAACTGCAGGGCTCGGTAGGGTTGCTCCAGTGGAAGGCAGCTGCTGTAAAAACGGGTTCCCTCAAATCACATTATCCATGGTAACGCACAGACTAGCCGAACTAACAGGGCTGCGTGCGTGGAGGAGGGTGGGGGTTACAGTTGATCTGGAGCTGCCAGTGCAGAATTAATAAAGCCCTTGTGTGGTTGAAATGTGACGTGCATATTAAGAGTTTTTTTGACGTATCAAGACCTGTGTTCTGTTGCCCCAGCAGCAGTGGAGCAGTCATCATCTCTCGAGCTTATTCAGAAATTCACATGTGTAGCAACTGAACTCCCTCTGCAAGAAATCCGTACGTTATAGGTGAACCTGCTAAGAAACAGAAGGGTTTTGTTTAGTTAAGTAGCCTGACTACAAAAATGTCAGTTATACATTTTGAGAAAATCTCAGTTTTTTCTAAGTTTGTTGCTCTGACCTGTGGGTTAAGCAAAACCGTGTGAACAAAATCATTCTGGTAACAGTACCTATTGCTAACAGACTGGTTTTGTCTCCTTGATGTTACACTATGATGGATGCAGGATAACTGGGATTCAGGAACTGGAATGTTAAACCTAAAAGTTATGGTTGAAGATATCGTGAGCTATGTGTGAACCTGATGTATGATGATCATCTCAAACCATTGTTTGGGAATTGTTTTTGTTATTAAAATTAAAAAAGAAAAGTCCATAGAGAGCTGTAGGTGTGGAAGGTTTACCACGCTGTGCTGATGTCCAAATTCAATGCATCTTTTACACCTTTACTCAGGTAAACCTCCATACCGCCTGTGTATTCCAACATTTCAGCTAATGGAAATGTACGAACCAGTGCAGCTTCAATCATTTCCTCTTTGCTGCTCTGGGCAGCCTTCCTCAGCAATGGAAGCCTTATTAAATAGAGCAGGAACCCAGTTTGGAGCCGGAACTGCACAGTTTGTGGCTTGAATGATTTGTCCATTACGATGGGTGAGAGGTCGCCTGTGATCGGGCTGACGGTGCTGTTTTGCACCCTGAGTTGCCCCGGAGTGGCCAATGTTTTGTCCTTATTCCCAGGCCGTCTGCCAAGCTCTGTGCCTTTTAGCCTCATCTACAGCTGACTACACTGCTCATGCTGTTCCAACTGACAGGATAAGATCAGATCACTTCATTGGCCATATACAATTTCTTGTGTTAGGAATTTCTTTTCGCAGACCCCAGCTTGCTCTCCGTGAGATACACAGACAGGGAGAGAGAAGCTTGGGGTCAGAGCGCAGGGTCAGCCATTTATACGGTGACCCTGGAGCAGTTGGGGTTCATGGCCTTGCTCTGGGGCCCAACGGAGTAGGATTCCTCTGCTGGCCGCGGGATACAAACTGGCAACCTTCCAGCCACAGAGCCACCACTACGCTCCCCAGACAGACCCGAGTCTTGGACAGTCTGTTTTCCTTCCAGTCCAATAAACACAAAGTTCATCTGCAGTACCTCTGTAAGGTGCTCCTGTTATTTTGCCTTTTTATGAAACTTGTTTTATTTTTATTTTAAATTTGGGAAGTATACTCTGTTGAGCAAAAGAACGAGTGTGAGAGAGATGGTACTTCTGCAAGAGTACCAGTCTATTGAAGTGCGTTGGCACAAACTGCAGTCCTGGAACACTGAATAGTACAGCAGACTGTTCATGACGTGGACTCAGCTCAGCCCTCAAGGTTACTGCAGCGTCACACAGAGCGACAGATGTCTGAAAATCAGTGCACAGCACAGTGATTGGTGCCAGGCTTACTGAGGAAAGGTATTTCCTCCAGCGTTTTGTCATTCGGCTGTAGTGCCGATCAGAAAAATCTGTCGGATTAATGCAAGGTATTGTTTGTTTGTTTTTTCAAGGGAAGGACAGGACCACTGCTTAAGGTGAAACATTCACCTTCTGAAGTCTGCAGTTCCTGAAAATGTGTATTCCCTTCATGGGTGAAAGAACATTTCTAGAATTTATTCCACATGTGCTTGAAATATCTCAAATCTCTTGTATCTGATATGCAGTAGACAGGATAAAAGCTGGGAAAGAATCTTGGATTAACCTGAAGTTCTGTTACATATTTTATTACTAGAAACATGCTATTATAAAGTTGTTACAGAGATCGGTTGCCTGTGTTGTTTTTTTTCCAGACTGAAGAATTCAACTGCGATCCGCGCGTTAGGAAAAAGATCTATTTGTCTGTTGAGAACAGCATTACTGTGGACAACTGCTGTGCTCTCTTTCTGGCTGTGGACAAGCTGATCGGTGAGCGCGTGCCAGGCGGCCCTCCGAGACAGGAACAGGAAGAGGACACCCAGCTGGGAGTCTGGCACGAGGTACTGCAGGTCTTATTCCGGTCTTTTTGTCTTCGGGAAAGCAGCGTGGAGGAAAGCCGGAGTTCGGCATCGTGTGAAATTAGCAGCCACGCGACGCTGCTCTTGATTTAGGGGGCTTTGGGAATTTCCAAGCTCCTGGGCCTGGGGGTCTCATGCTTGCTCCGTGTGGATGCTTGTGCTGTTGTTGAGTGAGTTGGATGTGCCACTGCCTCTGGGAGGGTGAAAGTACCCAGCTGTGACCAGCTCCTGGGTCACGGTCTGCGTGTCCGTGAATGGAGAATCCGATCCTGCACGTGCTGCGGCGTCTCTGCAGTTTCCTGTGCATTTTAAACCAGACCTCTTGCTTCTTGTATTTTCTGCAAGCAGTGCCTTTTTCTACACCGCGCTGGGATCCACAAGACTTTTCAAAAACAGAATCGTTCAGATTTTTGCAGCTATTTTACCGTGACAGGTGATCAAAAGAAATCTGTTTTAGAAAAAGCTAGATTTTTTTTAAAGAGATTTATTTATAAACTGCAGTTCATCAAGTCTGTTATTTTTACTGCTTTTCATTGCGGAACAGTCCTTCGTGTGGGTTCTGGAAGGACTTACAGCTCGGCCGCGTGTGTCCTCTTTTAAAGCGCTTTTCTGGACATGTGACGGCGTGACCAGGAGTAAACATTACAAGCCGTCTTGAACTGCTCGGTAGCTCCCTGCAGCTGTGTGGCGGCGGTGCTTTGCTCTGCTAGTTTAATTGCTCCCATGAGTGCGTGACCTTGGTGCGACACAGCTGTGTGAGCGTGCAGGAGCGGCAGGCAGGCGGCCGACCGGGCGAGCGGGCCGCTGAATGGGTGGGCGCGGCCACGTCGTAATCGGGCTTTCAGGCTGCGCTGCCGTGAGACCCCTGCTGCTCTTCCTGCGCGGCTCCGAGCGGCAGACAGTCCTTCAATCTGAGTGATGACATCAGCGATGGAGCTCAGGGAGTAAGCAGATTCCGGGAGGAATCGGGGGGGGGGGGGGGGTTGCCGTGGCGACGGGGCTCTGAGCCGCTGCTGATTCGCTCCTCCGCCAGCAGGGCTTTCAGGACGAAGCCCAGGCTCTGCGTGTGAAGCTGTGGACCTTCCTGCACCAGTCCTTCTTCGCTGTGCGGCACACCGAGGGATGGAGCCAGCTGCCCCGGGAGCACAGGGAGCTCATCCAAGCAGGTACGTGCCTGGGGGGGGGGCGGGGGGGCTCCAGCCTCCGTCGGGCGCCGTCGCCCTTTGAGCCGCGGCGCTGGGCTGCCGTGGAAACGGCAGCGCGCGTGCAGGCAGCCGGAGGGCCCTGAGGAGAGCGAGCCGGGAGCCGGCGGCCGGTCCTGGGTGTGTGGCTCCGCTCCGGGGCAGGTTCCGTGGTGAGCGCTCCGCTGGTGAGCAGGAGAGCGCCGTCACGCCCGTCTGGAGCACGTGCTCCTCCTGGGAGCCTCCCCCCTCCTTTTTTTCTCCGTTCCGATTTCGAACCCAGTCTAGATGGCATCTCTTCTGTGTGTGTTTACATATAGGAAGCAAGCGCTGAATAATGTATTGTGTACACGGCTTTTCGACATGACACTTGTGAACACGGGACATGAATTATTAATCCCGGAGAGTTCTGATGCCAGTGCTGGTGCTTTTCTTTCTGCTGGATTGTCCCCCCCCCCCAATCAGGAAGCAGACACACACACACACGCGCACGCACGCACACGCGCGCACACACACGCGGGGAGCCGCGGGTCGCGGAAGGAGTGTTTGTGACACAGGAGCCTCTCGGGGGCTGGCGAGCTGTCCCCCCCCATGCCCAGCCAGTGCTTTGCCGCGGGTCTGGAAGCCCGTCCAGTTCCTCTCTCTCCAGCGTCGATCAGCGGTTTGTCTCGGCCCACCTGGGGTGCTGAAGGAGGAGGCTGGGTGAAGAGCCTGCCGAGATTTGTTGTGCTTTTTCGAAGCTCATTTTGGCGATTTAGCTTTCGGAGGCAGGCAGACGGGCACCCCCAAGCTGCAGGAACGAGAAGAAGCACAAAGGAAAAGGGGGGCTGCGTGTCTCTCCCGCGGAGCCCGGACCGTAGGGGATCTCTCGTGTTGTGCAGCCGGTGTGCCCCCGTGCAGCCAGGGGTGTTGGGGGGGCCGCTCTGAGGGCAGAGCTCCCCCGTCAAGAGAAGGATGGACTCTGTCATCTTCCCCTTCAGCACCACCGCTCCGCCGGGCCGGGGTGGAAGATTCCCGAGGAGAACCGGGTTGCTGTCGTAGGCGCCCCGGTGGGCGGCGCTCCTCCCAGTGGGCCGGCGTCTCCGCGTCCCCAGTACCTTTCCAAGGGGCTCGGTGCTGAAGGAGCGGCTCTTCCTCGGGGAGGGATGTCGTGCCTGCATGGTCGTTAAAACCCGGAGTGTCTGTTGGAGCTGGGCTGCCGTCTCCCAGCTCGGCCCCGTCAGTCCGGCCTCTGGAGTCCGAAGGTCCCTCTCGCTGCCCCTGACCAGGCTGTGAAGGGGCAGGAGGGGGGGCGCCCCCCCTGTCTGTCAAGGGGGAGTCTCATCGTTGTGTTGATTGTTCTTCTCCCCGTTCAGCTGCTGTGGACAAGGGGGACGGTAGAAGACTGGGCAGGAAACCCGTATTGACCAGCTCACAGGTAAAAGTGTTCCGTGTCCGTTTTAAAATGTACTTTTTTAAATGCATTCTTATTGATATTTATTTTAGAGAACTGGTTTCTGCACCCGTTCTCCCCTGCCAGAAGCATGAGCGTTGCAGCTTGGCGACTGTACCTTCAGTTTTACAACATAGCAGTTGGAGCTCTGAATCGGAGGGAACATGCAGCATATTTTGTATTTTTTTGAACTTGTTAATGGCTGGTTTTACAAATATTTTTTTAAAAATAGTCTTAGCCATGAGTCTGGGACTATTGATTTTCATCTTCAAACCCATGTCAGCCCTGTACGAAGAAGGCAGGTCGTTCGGCCAGCAACGCAGGTCGTTTTTCTGCGTTCTCCTGTCGGATGCTCTGTCCTGGACACGGACAGCCACAGCAGGCAGCTCTGCGCCATGCCGGGCTCTTGTGGCTTTCAGGCAGTGTGATCGCAGGCGTCCGTGCAGCAGCGCAGCGAGGATGAGCGTGCACTAGCAATAAGAGCGCAGCGCCGGGCTCTTAAAGATGTGAGCTCTTGCAGTTGGAAAGTGAGCGAGAGGAAATGTCCTTCCTTTAATCTCACAAGATGTCTAATTGAGCTGCCCTTTCTTTCACCACCTATATGGGTGTCTTACAGTTCCCCATCATGGGACACATCTGCTTCTGAGCACACTGGACAGATTGTATTCTGCTTCCCTGCTCTTCCTCACTGGGGGGTTTTCTTGACGAGTATGAACCCCCCCTGGGGTCTCGGTGCCGCAGCAGCCCTGCTCACTCTCTCGTCCTGCTCTCGCCCCCAGCAGCAGCACAGGCCTCTGAAATGCCCTCGGGAGCCCCAGCTCGCGTGTGAGGATCCCACGCGGCAGTCCCGGGAGAGGCAGACCCCGCGAGTCGCCCGGCGTCCCGCCTCCAGCCAGCAGGGGGCGATGAAGTCGGATGGGCTGGGAGCGTCCGGACCCCTCGCTCCCGGCAGGGCCCCCGGGAACAAGGCGGGGGAGCCAGACGCCCCCAGGGCGAGGCCCGGCGCGGACAGGGTCAGGGGGGCGCGGGAGGCCAAGCCCGCCGACAAGTGCGCGCCCACCAGGGCGAGGG